TCACCTTCCGGATTTGAACCGGAGCCAAGTGCACCCATGCTGCAGGTCACCGCCAGTCAACCGACCTCGTCTGTGACCACTGAGGAAACTCAGGAACCACCACTGTCACCGGACGGTGCACCAGCTTTGAGCCGGGTTCTCCAAAGTGTCTTGGCGAGTGTCCTTGATGACACCACTGCGCGCCACCTGAGCTGATGCTGCTGGCAGCCTCCCTGCGGCTGATGCAGCTGCGCCGCACCAGCTGCCGACCAGCCGCGCTAAGCAGCTGCCGAAGCTTCTGAGAGAGACCCCCTTTCTTTCACTTTCCGTTCTCAGGATTTTTGCACCATAGGTATCCTGAGGACTCATGATATAGATCCTCGATCCCATTGGCAGAGAGTCCAATGGTTGATGGCGCGAGACATCACTCTCAGCGTTCGAGAAGAAGAAGAAGAGTTGTTCTTGTTCTTGTTCTTGTTCTTCTTGTTGTTGTTGTTGTTCATATTGTTGTTTTTGTCGTCGTCGTAGTACCAATAAAGGCGGTGGTGGTGGTGGTGGTGATGGTGGATGATGTTAGTCAGCCTATGCTAAACAGTAGAACAAACTGCAGTTCGCAACCACACAATACCACACATGCATTGTCAGCATAGTCTGACCTTTTGATGCCTTTGTTGCGCTGCCTCGTTATCGCGACGTTTTTGGCCAGTTTTTTGAGGATGACACGCACATGAGAAGTGTACCATCCAACAGGTGGCACAAATCGAGAACAGCCTAGTCAGGCGAACAATCCGAATGAGAGAGACCGAATTGCATAAGGGCATCAGGTGTCCAGCCAGTCGATCCATGGCAGGTTCAAGGTCCATGGAGGAACTTCCATCAGATGCCTGCCCAAGTGGCTGGGGTTCCTGATCAGCCCAGAAAGAACGCATCCATGTGGAGGTTTGGATCAAAGTCGTGTTTTGCAAACTCCAATACTGTTATATACTTGTGCTAGTTTGGTGATTCGAAACTGCAAAGAGTCGAAGGGGTTCCGGCGCTGTGGATTCGATTGTCGACTGATCGCTTGGGAGTTTGCTGTGAAGGCTGGGACTGAGCTTTTGTTTTTCTGCAACCAGCTGGAAAATAGCAGTATCACGGCCCCGACCATCCCCGAGATCGTTCGAACGGTGGAACCGAGCTCTTCCAAAAGGAACGTGTCGCGCAGCTTGTCGATCCGAGTGTGAACGTCAAGGGACTAGAGTCAATCGAAGCCGATCGTGTGTTGCTATTGTTCATGGGCCCTTCCACAGCAGTGTCGTCAGTGGGTAGTCCTCAGTTCACTCAATGAGCCGTTTGATTCGTATGTCGAGGCTGCACTACGCTATGAAGCCCAGCAGAGGATTTGGTCAAACATGAACGGTAAGCCCATAGCAACGCTGCAATCAATCAGAAAGGAAAAGGCAAGGACGCCAAAGGCACGGATGCGAAAGGAAAGAGCAAAGGAAAGGATTTGGAAAAGGAGCTGATGGCCGTTCGAAGGGCAAGGGGACTGGTGATGACTCGAACTTGCCTTACATGTGGACAACGTGGTCACCTGTTAGTTGATTGTCCATCGCGTGCCAATGGGAAGTCAAGGGGTGAAGGAGGCAAGGAAAACAAGAAAGGTAAAGGTACAACAGAGAAAGGTAAGAAAGGCGATAACAAAGGAAAGCCGAAAGGTAAGCGTGCCACTGAGTTTCATCCTCATCCACACAACCTGAATCTGAAGTTGGTACGAGTAGCGAATGGTCTGAACCAGAGATCGAAGATGGCGGTCGTTTGTCACCTATGTTGAATGTGTGTCAGCCATTCTTTGTTTGCAGAGTGGGCATCTCTCCCCTCCTTGCACTGGAGGGTCGCCTGTTCTGAACCTGATTGCAAATCCCAAGAGAATAGATGAGAATAGAATCCAGCAGCGTCATTTGATCGAGCTTGAAGTCTTACTCAAGAGTCCTAAGGGTATTGTAATGCGTTGCCACGTCAAATGCCTAGAGCATTCAAAACCCTGTTCCTATTGGGGAAAGGCCTAGGTTCAGACGTTCTGCCAAGAAACCGAGTTGTCATGCAGCGCTTCGTTCAATCGATTCGCATACTTCATACCCGGAAGATAGCAAGGCTCGAGCAAAGCATGTTTTCAGAATGAAAGACCGTGTGCCATTGTGCGAAGTAGGTCATGCCAGTGTGTGAGTCATCTTCCCATTGAACAGTCAAAGCTTGAACCAGTTTTGGGAACGTATCCACATATTAGTGCTTCCACACCAGATTGCCTCGTGGTTGCTCACTGACTTGCAGAGCTTGTGAGGATGACTTGCATTGCACGAATTAGGTAGAGTATCGAAACAAACAAAGTACACATTGAGTAAGTCCATAAACTTGGATGCAATTAATTTCTGCATTGTGGCGTATGCTACTAGGGGCTCCTGGCCTTACTACTAGCAGCAAGGACGTTACTAGGGGCTCCTGGCCGTACTACTAGGAGCAAGGACGCTACTAGGGGCTCCTGGCCGTACACGCTACTAGGGCCTCCTGGCCGTACTACTACGAGCAAGGACGCTACTAGGGGCTCCTGGCCGTACTACTAGGAGCAAG